GCTGAGGGGTAGTTTGAATGATACACGTCCAGTACTCCTTCCTTCTCAGCTCTTCCCTGTTTGCAACCAATGCACTGTGTTTATAGCTCAAGCACTATAGAATTACAGATGGTCTCTGAAGTCAATGTGAAACATGCAGAAATACTGTAGACTGAAAAAGCACTGTCATGAATCATCTGCTCTTACAGTCTTCCTCTGCTAAAGACAGCTCTGTTTAAAAAGCATTCACTCTAATTCAGGAACTCATAAATCATACACTGGGGCTACTAATTTACATTATTACATATGATTATGGTGTTGCTTTTGCATAAAACCTGCTTAAGTGCTAATTTCATAAATGTAGTCTCTGTTTACGATGGAATGCCTTCCTGTTTGGACTTCATTAACACCACTAAATTAGCGCTCTGCAAGTGCAGCAGGCCGTCCGCAAGTGGCTGCTGCCACCTATTGTCTAAAGACAGTGAGCAAGCCACCCAGTCTGAAGCCATCCTTTGTACAAAAGCGTGCTCGTTAGAGTCAAATCACATGAACATCATCCTGACAGAAAGTAAAATGACAGAAACTAATATCTGTACCAACTCTTAGCCTGGAACCTAATCCAATAATTAATATCTGCAAAACTTTAGATAATCCTCTAGGGAATGTGTCAGTGTTATGGATGCATAAATGTGGTTCATTTCCCTCTCAGAGAAGGATGGGTGAAATTTGAATGTGAACTGGGATAGTTTTAAACTCTCAACCCAATATATGGATCAAAACTTAGTTAACTTTTAAAATGTGCATGTCTGTGAAGTTCACAACATAGTTTACCAATCAAAATGTGTAAACAAATGATTATATTAGGGAAATATAAATGAAAAGCATATATTAGGGAAAATAATATTTTAAACGCATTATATTATCAAATTGCTTGCCAAAATGTGCATCTTAGGCAATGCATTAGATTAAATGTGTATATGTATGTTCATGCAAACTTTAAAAAAAAAAGTTTAGGATGAACTGGATTTAAGAATGGAGGGCGGGGCAGGGCTGGGTGTGGGGAGAGAAATTGAAAGAAATCCAAGCTGGCAGTTTTGTCCATCTCTACTTTCAAATGAAGTTTTTCAGGAAGGGCAGCAAGGTGGAAGAGAAGGAAAGGACTGTTTGTGGATGCATCCCTATATTTGCAGTTTTAAAAATGGTCATGTCTCTTCTGTGGGAAAATTTGCAAACCGGACAAGAAAGGAGTCCCTGAAGCGATGTGGTTGGCAGACGCCTCAGCTGGCTGTTTCCTCAATTTTCAGTATGCTTAAGTGCTATCTCCCTAGCCATTGGTTTTGTATGCTGACATATTATGAAAAAATTGCTCCAGGTATCAGCAGATGCAGATTCAGGTGAGTCTGTGTGCTTGATGGAAAGGTGTAAGCACAATTGGAAGAAATTAAGATGACATCACTTTATACACCATGCATTTGTTCAGGAAACGGGACAAACATCAACACTGATGCATATGTGCTTGGAATCATACATATTTGTGACATTTTTTCAAATATTTTTAGAAGAAAAATTATGAATACAGTAACATTTTCAACTATATTTTCTTTACTGAGTCACTGATAGCTTAGATATACAAACAGGTAGCAACCAGAGAAAAACAGTTGTGTTAGGGTTACTTGTTGTGTTACTTCAGACAGATGCAGAAGTAGACATTTAGAAACCATTTTCAGAATATTAGATTGGGATTTGGCAAAAGGTGATAGTAGGTTTGTAGGCAGGCCATTACAGAAGGCACAAGATTATGAAATCTAAATAACAGGAATAATTGCAAAATAATCTGCTGTTTGAGACTCCAGAAGTAAAAAATAAAAGGATGGGGGAACAATACTATTGACATCCTTGGGTCCTTTGAGGGGCAGCGAGTTCTACAAAGACCAAAAAAACTGTTATGAAAAACACGGGTGGGCCTAAACCAATGGATGACTGTAGCTTTGGGCTAGATGAAGGCAAAACGTACTGAAGTTTAATCCAAAATAATTTTGTTTTGATTTGTTTTGTTTTTTTTGTGGGGAGGGGGTGTGGTTCTGGTAATTTAGGAGATGATTGTGTTCCCTTTTAAGAAACAGGTTTGCAGCTTGAGGGTACTACTGTATGTCCAGACAACAGTGATCACAAGTGCCTCTTATCATTTTCATCCTGTTATGTCACCTATCCCCTTTCCTGGGGTAACAATACCTGGTCTCTGTCCTTTACTCTCTCCTCTCCAATTTCTTCAATTTCTTTACTGCTCACTAACCAAAACTCTCATCACAAAACAAACTTAAAGCTTTAAAATACAATGAAACAGAAACATAATAATATCAAAAAACATACATGAAAAACCAAATAAAACCAAAGGAACAACCAAGATAGACGCCAGTACTAAGTTCAACAATGCACTGATGAAATATCCCTGGACTAAAAAGCCTGAGATAATAAAAAGGTCTTCATCCAACAAGGAATTCAACAGTGCCAGACGAGCCTCCTTGGGGAAGAATATTGCACAATCTGGATTCCCATCACTGAAAAGTCCCTCTTTACTTCACACAATTGAATGTGGGCCACTGGAGAAGAGCCTCTGAAGAATATTTTACTATTAGAGTTAGAATTAAGGATATGATTAAGATTAGAATTATTTAGGGTTAGGATAAACAGTTAAGATTATTTTAGGGTTAGGGCAATGGTATTAAGTAGTACAATTCATTTTGTCAACAACTCCTGCTTCTGCTGCCTGTGGAGAAGCAGCCAGTCTGGTTATGGGATTGGAGCCAAGTGGGGAGCCAAAAACCAGGAGCCTTCTTTTCACACATATCCCCATCAGGTAGAGATGCTGAAAGCTCCAGCAGACTCACTTCCCTCAACTTTCCATATGCAAGCAGTTGCTAAAGTCTGTGTGCTTCTGCTCCAAGGGACTTGAGTTCCTGAAGGATGCTTTCTGGAAGATGGCAACATTATCCTCCACTTCAGTCAAGCCATGTATCTGGCACAGTTCACCAGCCTCCTCAAGCATGTCCATGGCCAGCAGCTGGGCCAACTGAGCCAAAGAGAAGCATCCATTTCTGGCACTGATGCAGGGTGCAACCTGGTAGGTAGGGCAGCACTCAGGGCAGGCAGAGGAGGCGGGCAAATTCTTGCTCCAAGAATTCCCAGCGTATGGCCAGGGCTGTGCAGAGTCAAGGAAAGCTTGGATGGCAACCAGGACTTGAAGACCTGCCAGAGCTTTTGATGAATACACAGTGTAGAGCAGTAAGCACACTTACAAACACGGCTCAACAGCAGTAAGTGCACAACAGGGCAGCAAAACTCTCCTGCACCTGTGTATGGCGCATGTGTCTGTTCCAAGTGACCAGCCAGCTGGACAATCACTAGCATCTAGCAGGGAGATGAGTTGGATGTTTGAGCAGGGTGGCACAGCTGGCCAGAGATGAGCTGCAGCATCAAGACAAGGCAGAAGGCAGCAGTTGCTCATGAGGTGGTCACTGCAAGCTGTGTAACTATAATGTGCTTTATGTAGGGCTGTCCCTGAAGACATCAGGTTGGGCAGAATGCAGCTGCCAGAGTAGACCGGAGATAGCAAATCAGATCAACCCTTTCCCACAGGACTTGGCAATTTCAGACAGACTGGAAGAAACAAGTTAAACATGACTGCTCTAAGCCTTAGTAGCCATCGGTCCATTCTGAACTACTAGTGATTTGCCACATACTTTTGGCAGCAAACCTGTGACTTTTTCCCCCCAAGAGTAAAATTAGCAATGAGGAAAGCAGCCTGTGGGCTGCATGTTACCCATGAGCTACTGTGGGGTAGTTCCTTTCAGTTCAAGGTGCTATTTTTATCTTTAAACACCAGATGGCATATCAAGAATCACTTTGGCAATTTCCAAAGTCTTTTTGAGCAGTGTTGAGATCAGAGATGTTCATTTTCTTTTGAAACAAACCAGTTTCTCACCAGGCAGATTCACACTATAAGGTCATCATAAGTCAGGGCTGACTTGATGGCACATAACAACAGGTTCATGCTACAGAGTGAAATATTACCACTGTGGGTCTTTTGTGTCCTCTGGACCCAGTTTCCAAGTTTCTGCATAGCAATTTCTGAAACCACAAAAAGGATCAACTGTTTGTTCCAAGATTTCTACATTTCACCACAGTTTCTCTGCTCATCCATACCTGGGATTTCCATTTTACTATTGCTGGAATGGGAGCACCACAGAGTCCTCTGGCAAGAGCAACCACAGAATTGGCCTGTGATTTATACTGCCCTCAGCTACCTACCAACAGATGCTAATTTAAAAACACTGCTGCAAACATGGAGACAATACACAGAAAGGGGAGATCATGGGGTTGGGAGAGAAAATATATTTTAATTTAATAAAAATATCTGTGGAGGTTAGAGTGGTTGGGAAGAGCAGCAGACATGCAGATACACCTGTGAGGGTGAGGGGAATTCATTCCAGGATTGCAATGTACCAAATAGGAGGAGGCTGCTGTGGTCCATAGGCAAGAATAGAAAAAGGATGGGCATTTTAATCATGGGAGTTGCTAGGATATGTGATGAGTGCAGGTGGAGGAACAAGGAGTGCGGAAACTGTTCTGCCCAGGTAATCACACAATCACCTGGCTGGTGACTTTGGGCAAAAAGCCATATGGAATGGAAACAGCACAGAATTGATTGACATGTCATGTGAACCCAGCCACTATGTCTGAACTTGGAAAATCTGATTTGATCCTGACTTGTTCCAAGCCACTGTATAAACAAGCCATAGTTATTCAAGTTCAAACATGCCAAAGAACTGTGGTTTGTAAGCAGCCATGCAAGACAAGAGTAAGATAACTAACAGAGCCAAAATTATAGTTTCCCAAAATGTTTAGCCAAGTACCTGTGTGAAGAAGCCCTTAGAAGACATTTTTTCAGAAGCAAAGAAAATGAAGGGTTTTTAACTGTAAAATTTAAATTCAAAAATAATTCCAGACATGAACTGCTGATGTTTAGTTCCTCACTCAAGTTTTATGATTCAAAGCATAATAGTTTTTCACAGTTGTAAGTGAAAAGCAACTTTCAAAATTCCAGGCAGTAACAAATGATATTTATTTTTGAAAATAATAAAGATTAAGACAGGTGTTATTTGAAAGTAAGCTTAGCAGTTTTATTCCAATCCAGTAATATTTCCTGCTGCTTTAATATATTATATAAACTGTATAAATAATGTTATTTCCAGAGTTCAGCTTTAGTAGTAGTAAATGAATCAATCAGTATGCATCAATTCTACAATGCCAAACCTTTACAAAAATGAAGATTTTCATAGAAAGGATAGTGGTTTTTATTGCATTAGAAAACACTGGACTATGAAAGATATAAAATCAATTGAAACGAATGTAGGGGTGTTCTCTTTTTTTACAATCTTTACGCTGTTTATTGTTGGGACTCCTAACACTGTCCCAAATATTTAAAACTACTTTTAACATGCCTTGATGCAAATGTTTTACAATGTTCAAAACTGAATATTCTTGGCTGAAACTGGAAAAAAAATTACCTGAGATTCCTGTATAATAAGATTGCCATTGACATTCATTCCTAATATTTGTGAGTTGATGGTTTATCTGTTCAATGTTTGCATGCAACCTGAAACATTACTGTACAAACTTTCCTGGAGGTAGCCAATTAGGCATTAAGTCACCTCAATTCTCACCCTCTCTAATTATAAATTATAAACTAGGCATATTGAATAATTCCTATAAAAATGTAAGTTGTACCTGGAGATCTAATTCACAGGCATTGCATTTATTAACCAACTGCACAAATATAGTAGAGGCTTTTTTCACTTCTCTCGTAGACAATGATTTATAGATGGCTTATCAAGTTGAGAGACAGAAGCCTAAACCAGATTGTCCCTTTGAACCTCAGCACTAGCCAGCCCATAAAAAATTAGAAAATCCAGTTCCCTTGAGCTATAGTTTAGAATATATGTGTTGACACTTACAATTTAGTCTCACAAGCAACTGTGTCAATATTGCATCCTTTCAAAATAGAATTAAGCTACTTCTTTAGGGTATACATTTTTACATCACATGCCTGAATAGATTTGGCACTGCTAACTGATTTGTCAGAAAAAAAGGGGGTGGATCAGGAAAAAAGTCAAAGAATATGACTCCTGAAAAAGAAATGTATGCGCACTCTTCAAGAATAAATGCCTTATTAAATGCACGCAACACCAATATGCTGACTAAATGCTTATTAAGAATTTCCCTAAATTATCACAAGAGAAATTATCACAACACAAGCAAATGAAACCACATGAATTTATAAAGGAACTTCTACAATGAAGTCAAAAGTCTGTAAGCTGTGTAATTCATAATGCTAATCTGTGAAAGGTATTTGTGAATATCACTGCAGCTTTGAGCAATTTTGAAATCACTCTGAGGTAGTGTAGTTTTTTTTTTCTTTTTGTAATACATGCTGGTTGTTAGAAGTACTGTGTAGATTATGTATTTGGCCAAATGTTCATACATGTTAGCATTACATTATGTAAATGCAAACTTATCTTTATAGGCTAAATCATGGTTAAGGTAACCAATACCTTAGCATATTACAGACAGATTTACTACTCTAGAGTCCTGCAAAGCAAATAGTTACAGAAAGGTGATTAATCCAAACACAGATATAAAAACTGATGTCTGTTCTGAGGTAGGAAATGAAGAATTCCATTGGCTTTTTTACATGTTGTAAACCAGCAAAATGTCTGAGGTTCAGTAGATAAAGCTTCTGTTATTAAGAGCAGTTATGCTATTACAGAGTTCATAAGGATTTTCTGTAATTAATACAATGCAGAACAGCCTACAGTAAAATGTTCTATTTGCTTATTTTAATAGTCAAAACTATTGAAGAATCAAAGTGGCTCATTTTTTAAATAGATGAAGTTATTGAAAACTGATCATGAATAGTTACAGTTAGCTTTACTGATAAAATGTATCCATTTAAAAGAATAGTTTTCAAATAGTTTTGAACTGGTCCCACTATTAATAGTAAAAGTTGAAATCCTTCCAGAACATTTGATCATTTTAATTTTCTTTATAGCCATTTTAAGGAAGAAGCACAAATTACCATGTTACATTAAGCAGAACCTCAAGTATTTGAAATCCATGGAAGGGCAACAATGTGTCAAGAATGGGTATGTCTCTGATGCAGTGACCCAACATTCTTGAAGTTATGGATTCTTGAGGCTCTATTCTAAGATTTATTTTAAACACACTTATGCTGGAATTGTAAGAGAATTTAACAGATGAAAGATTTGTTCCAGTTATTTTCTTTTCACATGGTACTGGCAGCCTGAAATTTCTAAATGGCAAGAATTCCCTTCTGCTTTGTAATAAGGCAAATTACCAAGATGACATATCTTTTATATGTCATTAGAAAAAAGCCCATAATGACATTTCAATTTGATTGAGGATGATGGAAAGTTACATACAAATTAATACAGCTGCACTGTACGGTTCTATCTTCTTAGATAATGACTAATACTACAATCCTGTAGGATGAATTTGACAAAATTATTCATCTGTAGTGCATTTGTCAGTCATTTGTTGACAAAAATCTGTTATACCACCACCACTCTGCACACATGGCTCCAAACATAATGTTTTCTCAGATATTCTTACAGGAATTGGGTACAATTCTTGTGCTTGATCATATCCTGTATCACATGCTCCTTTTATATGCTGATAACTGGAACTCTGTTCATTAGCTGATACAGAAAGACCTGCAGATAATTCAACACACAATGGTATTGCAGAAATATCAGAATGAGCTGGCTGTTCCCCTTCTGGGATCAAAAATGAAAGTGGACAATCAGAGGTGGAGTATTTTGCAAGAATCTGTATTTGCTCTGTACTCAGTGCTGCTTCCTTACATACTTGCTGGCAAAGTCCTGTCAGATTCTGCTTTGTTTCAACCAGGGTTGACAAGATGTGATCTTTCTCCTTCAGTAAGTTCTCTTTTTCAGTTTGCTGTAAGAAAACAAATCCATTCCAAGCTCAGTACTTTTTTCTAAACTTTATAGTCAGTAGTATCCTCTTACTGAACAGCTTTCACTTTTTCCCATTAGTTGCCAACCCCATCCCTGAAGCTCAGCCGTCACAAATAACCTTACAGTCTTAAAACCCAGGTGTCATAAGTGAGCCAACCCAAGGAACAATACTTTTGAAAGATGACCTAGTTTTGCCTGCATTTCTTCCACAAATGACAGCAACTGCGAACAGCCACCAAGACCACCAGTCATGCTTGTGAAAACCTGGCACAAGAAGGTATTTTATAGGAGATCATAACAGAATACAAGAGAGAACTCTGTCCAGTGACTCCACTATTTTAGAGGTGAGCCATGGAGGCTTAAGTTCCAATGTGTGATGATTTGGAAGACTACAAACACCTCCTACAGCACTATATATAATGTAGCTGCATTAAATGAAAAGACAAATATAGTTTATGCCACTATACTGATGCAATCATCTTTCCAATCACTGTATTATCTTGCCCAGTGTCTTGAACAGGAGTGGACATATGGCTACACAGTGATGAACTATTGCCCTTCAATAACGTTTAGTGATAAATTTCTGTATTTCTGGCTATGGACTCACACCAACATTAGTATTCTACCTGACACAGAGCAGGGACCTTTGCCTCCAGAAGGTAATAATCTAATTACAAAAATGCATCTTAATAAGCTCGAATATCTGACCACTTGGTTCCTGGTTAATTCAAAATATAAAATCTAAGGTGATTTCCAGCCATTTTCCCTATCAGGAATAGGACGCAGACTATATGGATACCGTATGCTTTGAGGGGCATATTAAGTATTAGCAGGCTACATATGGGGCTGTAGTCAAGAACAGAACATACTATCTGTTACTTCAGGAAGAAGCTGTGCAGTCATCTTACACTTATTTCCAAAACAGTGCAGCTGCCACTTGACACAGCCGAATATGTACCCTGGTGCATCTGCTCTGGTCTTCTTGAATAATTAAATTCCAATGTCAGTATTTGCTGAGGTTACCAAGGACAATTTATGGGTAAATTGTGGCTAGAAAATTATGCTTTCCCTCAAAATAGCCTCTGATTTGACAAGTTCCAAAAATTTTCAATCCATTTATACATCCAGTATCAAGCCACACACGGCAATATTTGGAAATATCAATGGAAACACTGGGCAAACACCTGGTACAGGCAGGTCTGTTATAAATTAAAAAACTGGCATTATTATGACTTAAATGATCACAGCAACCAATAATCAGATTGCTAACAGATTTAAGTGGTACCCCAGGAAGGTAATAGAAGGTACTGACACTACTTGCCAGACAACAATGAACTGAAACTCCAAAAATGTAATGATGCATAATCAAAATTAATCTTTCATGATATATTTGCATAATACTAATAAGAACACATAATAAGACTAAGATCTTCATAGCAAGTTTTGCCGCTCATTCCAACACAAGGTAGCTATATAATAACTCAATGGTAGGCCTTCTCATTGGTGGCACCCACCATCTACAAAACCCTTTCTGTGCAGTTTGGGAAGCAGAAAATGCAGTAATTTTCAAATGCCTCATGAAAATGTACTTGTTTACCCAGGTTTTCTCTGGCTTTTAATACACTGTAACTAATTTTATCCTGCCTTATCCTACTGCTCCTTGAATTGCTCTGTTCTATTTTCACAAAAGCAGGTTGCTTACCTGTAACTGATGTTCTTCGAGTGGCCATCTGTGCAGTCACACATATGGGTGCTGCGCCTGCACAGTGCCTTTGGCCGGAAGATTGCCAGCTAATGGTTTTTGGCAGGAAAAGCTCCGTTCCCCCTCCCCCATAGCCTATAAAGAGTGGAGCGTCCGCCATTTAGTTGTCTTTGACGACCGAAAGTACGCCCCCATGTGGAAATAATGTGCAAGTATGAGATAGGAAAAAAGATCGGTACCATGAAAAAAAGGGAAAACTTTTGGTACCGACGATATATCCACTCACCGACACCGAGCAGGGCCGGTGGGTGGGTTGTGTGACTGCACAGATGGCCACTCGAAGAACATCAGTTACAGGTAAGCAACCTGCTTTTCTTCGTCGTGGCCTCTGTGCATCACACGTATGGGTAGATTAACAAGCTTACCATAAAAGGAGGAGGGGAGGTGCCCTCAATGAAGAATAGATGAAAGAACGTCTCTGCCAAAGGAGCAATCCTGCTGAGCCCGAACATCTAGACGATAATGTCTGGCGAAAGTGCAAGGGTTCGCCCAAGTAGCAGCTTGGCATACATCATCAATCGGGACCCCCGATGCAAAGGCAGATGAGGCTGCAACAGCCCTAGTCGAATGACTTTGAGGGGCTGTAGGTAAATCAATCTTAGCCAGTTGATAGGATAAGGTTATAGTATGGACTATCCACTTGGAAAGTCTCTGCGGAGTGACTGGATCGCCTTGATCTCTGGTGGAATATTTAATGAATAGTCTATTTGAACGTCGAATAGATTCAGTCCTCGATCTGTAGAAGGCTAAGCAGCGCCGAACGTCAAGTGAGTGCAAGGATCTTTCTAACAGAGTCAACGGTGACGGAAAAAAGGCAGGTAAGATAATATCCTGTCCCATATGAAAACGTGTAGCCACCTTAGGAAGAAAAGATGGGTCAAGGTGCAAAACAACCTTTTCTCTGTGAAAATTCAGGTAAGGAGGGTCTATACGAAGAGCACAGATCTCACTGGCCCTTCAGGCTGAAGTGACCGCAACAAGAAACACTGTCTTCCATGAAACCAGACACAAATCGACTGTTGCCAATGGTTCGAATGGAGCTCTCGTAAGCGCTTGCAGAACAACAGAGAGACTCCAGGTAGGCATTACTGGTCTGATTGATGGATTAAGATTATGAAGTCCCTTAAGAAACCTCTTAACAGTAGGTTGAGAGAAGATGGGTGATCCGTCAACTAAGCCACGATGGTAGGCTATCGCTGCCGTATACACTTCAACTGAAGACGGTTTTAATCCAGAATGGTGCAGTTCTAATAGGAACTGAAGGATTTGATGTATCAATGATGTAAATGGAGAGAACTAATGAGACTCGGCAAAGGTAGAAAATCGTCTCCATTTAGCCGCGTAGGACTTCCATGTGGACGGCTTCAAAGCAGAATCAAGGATGTGTTGGATATCAGAATGAAAGGCTGTCAGATTCGACAGGTCAATCCTTGAATCTGATGGTACAGAAGGAAGAAATGAAGAGGAAACGCCGAACCCACTGGAGGGTCGAGGCGATGTTGCGGAGGCATTGCATTATGAAGTATTGATACCTTGCCAACGTCGCCTCGTAATTGGAGATACGCAGCCTCAGGCCTGAAACAGCATAGACTCGCCTGGCCAGTGAGTCGATCTTTTGACCCTCCTTATCCCTTGGTGCAGTGTGACCTCTCGCCTCTCTGCCCTGGGAGGACTCCACCACGACTGAGTTCGGCTTGGGGTGGTGGAGGAGGAAGGGGATATCCTCCTCCCGAACCCGATACATGGATTCGTACCTCCAAGACGTGGGTTGAGGGTGAGAGGGAAAGTCCCAGGGCTGGACGACCAATGTGGACTGTTCTCCGAGGACGACGTCATAAAAATTGTCGGTAGTCGGTCCCAGACGCTGGATGGTGTCGATGTCGAGGGACTGGACAAGCCAGGACATCAGCTCCGCGAAGGAGACATGCAATTCATCCAGTGACGCAGGGCCCTGGGAGGTCACAGTGATGTCAGGGGAGGTTGAATCGACCTCCGAATCGTCGGAGTCAGCACCGTAATACGGGGGAGCCGATGAAGAGGACTCTGCCGGGGAGAAGGAGAGGCTACTTCCATCCCGAGGAGGTATCGGGGATGCACGCCTCAGGCCCGAAGACTGCGGTCGGTTGCAGGACAGTGGCAAAGACCGACCCCTAGGAGCAGAATAGTACCCAACGGAGAGTGGATCGCCCCAGGCGTGATAGTATGAACGGCGCCATCCCTCTGAGCGCTGCTCCATGGAGCGACTCCTCCGGCTCCTAGGCGGGGACATCTCCACACCCGCCTCCATTGTGGCTGCAGGCATAGGTGTGGGCGACCTAGCCCTAGGGGGGGAGTCCTGAATTTCCCCATCAGAAATTGAGCCTCTTTGCAGAGTTGGAAGAGGCCCAGCAGGAAGGTCAGCCACATGGCGAGGGGACCCTTGAGGGGTAACCCTCATAGCCTCCTGAAGCACCAGGTCGGGTGGAGTCGGTACGGTAAGTGCCGCTGGTACTGAGGAGGCCGTCGAATCCGAGTCCCGGTGTTGAGGACATTCTGGATCCTTCGATTTCTTGGAAGGTTTAGGGCTTTCTCCTTCCTGGCCTTCTTATGGCCTGCCGATTTGTCAGGTTCAGCATGCTTGCGCTTCTCGTGCTTCTTCTTGGAAGAAGCAGGCAGAACCACTGTAGCAGATGCGCCTTCGTCTGAAGGGCATGAGGGTGGAGCCACTGAAGCGGAGCCAGGCTTCGGAGCAGCAACAAGCGGGTCGGACTGCATGAGAGCCCGATCCCATAGGAGCCTCCAGAGGCGATTCTCACGATTCTTCCTGGCCTGCTTAGAGAAGGCCAGGCAGTGAGAGCATTTATCAGTCCTATGCCCCTCCCCCAAGCAGAGGAGGCATAGGTCATGCGGGTCGGTTGGAGACATTTTTGACCCGCATTCCGCGCATTTGCAGAAAGCCGCTCGCTGCGCCATCGCAAGAAAGAGAAAAAAGGGAGATAGCACAGAGGGTAAGTATATATTTTTGTTTTTTTTTGTTTTTGTTTTAGATAGAAGATCGAAAGAAAGGTAGAACGATAGAGAAAACTACAAGAACTATAAGTAGTATAGGAACTAACAAGAACTAGAAGAAATACTGGGGCTATAACAACTGGGGGAACAATCAAGAAGAAGAACAGGCTAGACGAGCAACAGTCAGAGCGAGAGTGAAAGCGGCATGAGGCACAGCGAACAGCGGTCACAAAGACCGAACAAAATGGCGGACGCTCCGCTCTTTATAGGCTATGGGGGAGGGGGAGCGGAGCTTTTCCCGCCAAAAACCATTAGCTTGCAATCTTCCGGCCAAAGGCACTGCGCAGGCGCAGCACCCATATGTGTGATGCACAGAGGCCATGACAAAGAACTGTAATTGCTTTAAATAATGTATTTTAAATGTGATTTTAATATTTATATATGACTCTCTATGGGATTTTAATATATTAAGCAGTTCAGAATAATATAAATAAAAGTCTTCTTAAATGTTTGCTATTAAAACAGGTACAAGCCAGAAAAATATTGAACAATGACAGATGGCTGCAACAGTGATCATCAGGAATTGCAAAGTAAATAATTGCACTCTTTCTAGATGCAACATATGTAACTGGGGCACTATTTCAGCTACAAATGAAGCCTCCAGAGCAAGTGTATAAATTGATCATTACTACCATATTTATCTCTATACTTATGTTCTGACACTGTTTAACACAGAGAAGGAATGAATATGTGACCCCTCGGAAGTTGCTGATTTGTAACTAACTGGAATGGCCAATTGTGAGGACTGATGGAAGCTGCAGATCAACAACCTCTGGAAAACACAAAGCCCCACTTCAGGATTTAGCAGAAAGCAGACAAAGTGAAGCAAGGAGAGCGAAAAACAGGGTTGCAAAGATGATTATACTGAGGATACTGCTCTAGCTAGTATTGAGTTAGCTTGACAGGAGGAACTGAAGCACAGAGAATTTGTCTCTAGCTATTCCTACTGAGGTTAACAGCTAACTTCTGAAGTGAGCCATTCTGCACTGCCATTTCCTTGTGCCATGCCAGACTGTCAACAATAGTGGGTGAAGCAAATTTGAGAATGCTGAAAAAGACCAGCCACCACTACCAACTGAATTACAATCACCATTAAAGAAATTAAGGATTATGGTAAAAAAATAATCCCAAATGAGCATTCTTTTAAAAAGGCCACCATACATACCAGTTTCTCTATTTCCGACTCAAGGTTTTGTATGCAGTCTAGTTTTCGCTTACGACAGCGCTGTGCTGCAATTCTATTTTTACTTCGCCTTCTAATATCATGGATACAATCCAGCTCTTCTGGTGTTAATTTGTGCATTTTCAGAAATGATTGAAAGTCATTTCTAGAAAGTGAAGTTATCTTCTGTGGATTAAATGGCAGCTTTACCTGGAAGGTAAATCTAATTTTAGCCCATGAAGAAATTTGCTCATCTCACAATTTTTCAAAGAAGTGCACCTATCATTCATAATTAGTATGGACAATCACAAGGTTTGAAATACAGCTACTACAATTCAAATTGCAAACAGAAAAAGCAGTCAATCACTAAACTTGCTTACACTATTAATTGAAATAGTCCATGGAAATAAGTGACTTATCCACCAAAGTCTGACATAGTGAGGAAATTTTGTACAAGTATGTTTCTGTCATACTTATTCTGAACATTTAACAAAAAATGAGGCACATGAGAATTTAAGTATCAAATTAATTCTTAATTCTTAAATTAATGGAACAATTTAAGAACAGCAGGAATTTCCAAACTTGGAAACTTGATGGCTTGGTGGGCAGTCCCTAGCATTAGTCACATTTTACTATGGGAATAACTACTAGCACAGCAGGAAGCTAACATTTCATACCCCAACCACAGAAACTAACTCAAATTAGCACTTCCACATGTCAGGAGGAGGGAAGCAGGTTCCACAGCAGAGTTGCCTTCTGGGCTAGTTTCCAGTTGTGTTAGCTTTCCATCGCACTAGCACAAGGGCACCATTGGATCCCACCTGAACATTGGGATCCCATGTAAGTCATGCTTAAATTACATACCATCTCTTTCTTGGAATGGGCACTAGCTGCCTTACCAGGATATAACCACACTTTTTTTTTCTTTTTCCTGAGTTTCCCTTTTATCTGGATATAAACAGGAGCAAACCAGGTTCTATTTAGAATAGTCTTTTGGTTCTCCTATATATTTTTTTTCTTTGTTAAATCTTGAATTCCCTGATTTGCCACTCAGTTTAAGTTAGTGAATGCAATGATGGCAGGTACACTATAGCCTCATAGTGTGCCTCACTGATTATGGGCACTAACTACGGATTCGAATTTCCCATATACCATATATAATAAAGCTCTCTCAAAAGTGGTTATATTTTGACCACATTGATATTTTCAAGGAGAGCCCTTATAAAGCAGTCCATACATGAAAAGGTTGAAAACATTTTTAAATGGTATTATTTTGTATGGTGTGTGGGAAGAAATTTAAATTTGCTGAAGGCAAATGTTTAACACAAATGTTTCAAGAAGGAACAGAAACAATGTAAAGCTGACATTTTATCCAGGGAAGCAATACTGTTTTTAACATATTTTGGCTGTTGAAATGTTATCCTGGTGATTATCTTAGAAGTGTTCTTAGTTGCCCTGTAGTGTGCATGTAAAACCCATTTTAGCCTGCAGTTAGTTTCTTCCATCTCACCCTCCATTTTTCATCTTTTAAATCTTACTGCAATTCTATAGGCAGCTATTTTAACTTGAATAGTGTATAAATTATGTAATGACCAATTAGTTTTTAAAAGAATTGACTTCGAAATAAATATGTTTAAGATTTAAGACTACAATGTAAGTTAGACTAACTATCATTCAGTTTAAGTTTTGTCTACTTTGAGGGAATGATTGGAAACTTTCTTTCCAACTTTTGAGGAAGAAATTGAAACAAGCTTTGAAATAAGGCATGCATCTTCAAAGAAATACAAAGTGATACTTGGAACATCTTACCTCACATTCCTGTTCTCTGGCAGAACATGGTTCACTATCTCCCTCTGTATCCGTTTCAGAATCATCTTCCAAATTTATCACACACGTATAAGGGCATTGTTCTGGTTGTTGCTCAGGAACACAATCACTGCTGTTGATCTCAGTACTGTGTTCAGTACTGAGGTTACTCATGAAAGGGCAACTGACAGGATTCAAAGTAGTAAAAGTTCTTTGAGGGCCATGCTCAGGACTGTCACTGATCCTTATACCTAACCAAGGACATTCAGTTTTCTTTTCTGAACAACCTTGGTCTGAAAATTCTTTAGCTGAAGCAGGAGACAAGTTGACTTGACATGCTGTATCTGTGTTGTAAACATCACTCCAAAACCCTTTTGCCAGTTGTTCTGCTATCTCTCGTTCCACACTGCTACGATTGCAAGGTGAAGTATTGTTCACATTTTCTCTGTCACACAAGTGAGATTTCAAGGGTGGGACCTCTTCAGTGCTTTCGTTGATTGGCTTGCAATTTCCAGGTTCTGTAACAATGGCATTTTTCCCAGTTACCTCTGCGCTGTTCTGCATGCCACTCAAAGTCAAATTGCAATATTGATCATATACATTTATGTAAGGAGCAGCATAACCTCCATGAGTGGCAACAGATGAGCTACTGGGGGAGAAAGCAGGATCTGTCTTCTCCACAGAACTTTCAATACTTTGGAACTCAGAAGCCGTCTCTTTGAAGAACACCTCTTTGCCATCCTCTTCCATTTCTACCTGAGCGTCTTCACATTTTGAAACTGGATGCGCAGCTGCACATTCAAGGGATGTTCGTACAGCACCATTAGTATTTGATTCAGTCTGATGAATGGATGGAGCAGCTGTTACCTGAACTTCTTTAATACTGGAGTTGGACTCCACAACAGGGACTTTGTCACTCCCCAAATACTTCCTATATTTAGGACACAGGGATTCTAAGACTTGACCCTTTTCTGATACAGACTCACATGTTTGTTTTTTTTGCAGAAGAGATACATCTGAATTTTGTTCATTTTTGCAAGCCCTCAATTGGGGGTTTTGAATGCATTCATTCTGCTGTGCTTCATCCACTTCATCTATTTCTAAATCCGCATCATCAGCAACACTTATTTTCTGGTCCTCTTTCGGACAGCATGGTCTACAACATTTCTTTTTTGTGTATTCCTGCTGACCTGGTTTATGGTCCAGAAATTTGAATTTGAGAAATTGAAAACAAGATTCTTCAATGTCATGTACTCCCAAAAACTCAGCACACTTGCAAACTTCTGACACATTGTCTTTGTCTAGAATGAGTTTGGAAGTGTATGCAAACTGAAGCAAAGGATCAAATCCTTTTAGTGTAACCTGTGAGGACAACGTGGAGAGAGAAGAAATGTATGCTTAACTTGCACCCTCCAAAAGACATATATGCATGTGCATGCACACAAACACACTCACCAATACAAATCCCTCCTACCTAGCAAAGTTAACTAGTTATGATTAAAACTGCTGGTGTTGGCTTGTCTAGCATAGACCTTTTTTAATATCAAGTAATTCTTGTGATGAAGCACTTTTCTCAACACAAATGGGCTAGCCAAACTTATGACAGAAAATGCTAGGATGCAAATGCTAAGAAAGATAAGAAGGGTGTCCTTCTGCCAGCAAAACAGACATCACTGGCAGATCAAATTCCTCCTTTCCCTACATACCAGATCTGTTCAGGAGAGATGGGGGGCTTGCAGGGGGGAAAGAAGGCAAGGGAAACTCTGCAACCTAAGATTTAGTCCATGCAGTTTCCAGGTTGAGTCACTGTGGGAAAATGCTGGGATTCATTAGCTCGCCAAGAAACAGACCAGAAAGGGAGGGGCCAAGCCAGAGTTGAAAAGCCAGAGCAGTAGCACAATGTGGGGGGAATGCAAGAAGGAAGGAAAAGCCAAGTCAGGAATGACTGCAAAATCTTGAGAGGAAAGCAATCAGAAGACTGCCTAACAGAGAGAAAGAAAAACAGGAAGGAAAGTAGAAAGGAAATGGACAAGCGATTTCTAGGAGACAAGAAACCTCAGTCAGAAGACTGGGTAGGAAGTGATGGTCAATTACTCTGGCCAGTCATTGTAGCAATGGCGGTAGAAGGGCTTCTTCTGGTAACGTCTAGTGGATACTTCCTTTGACACCAAAAATCCTATGCTGCACTTCAATTAGCTATGCCTACAAGGACTGGAAGGACAGCAGGCAATAACAACCTTTAAAGTGGCTACAAGAGAAACATGAGGTGGAGAAATCAGAAAAGTGGAGACTCCCAACTCCTTATTTTCCAGACCAAGGAGACCGCATATATTTCTTTGATCCTTCAACCAGCAGTGATAGATGCAACTGTTCATACTGAAAGGAAAGTCTTTTTTTTTTTGGGGGGGGGTGTTAATTAACCAGTGATGTAACTGGTAGTACTCCTTAAACTAGAGTTATTACATCTACCTCTTACTGGAGTGTAGAATCTTAATGGAGATGATGTAAGATGAGTGCCTCAATGTGTCTTTCTTCAGGGATGCAAAACCAGCATGAGATGGAAGGCACAGCCTCTCAAAATATAAATTTTTATTTGTTTGTTTGGGGAATTTCTATCTCATCTCATACCAACATCTCAGGATGGCAACATATATGACCAGAAGACTTCATGTATTAAATGTCTTTATATCATACCCTAATAATTTAAAGCTTAAGTAAATACATTTTGCATAAAGTAGTATACATACTACCGTATGTTAAGAAGTGCATATAGGGAGAGGGGGGGAGAGGGGGAGAGAGAGAGAGAGAGAACACGAACAGGCAGTGCTGGCTCCAGGTTTCTGAAGCCGCTTGGGCAAGATGTTCTCAACCCCTTCCTCTAACTTCTCACTGCCACTGGCTGCTACTGATCCTACCCTTTTTCACTGTTACCACCGCATCCTTAGCTGACAGGCAGGGAACCAGTAAGCAGGTAGGCAGCAGCATCTACTGTTCCTTCTTTTCACCATCACCATTGTCTGGGCTATAATAAGGAGCCCAGATAGCAATGGTGAAGTGAAGGAACAATAATAAGGGGCTCTTGAAAGTGGTTCACTCCTAGGGATTGGGCCTTGGCCAGAGTACAACCATGCCTACCCTGGCCAATGGCTATGAATGCAGGTTGCCCTGACATTACTCCCTGGTTTTATCTTTGCTCTATGCAGCCTAATTCACAGAAAACCATGGGAGACAGAGTGAGAAAACACAGTAAGTAGCTCCAACATAGCCCACAAGATGTAAAGCAATGATGTTACAGGGTAGTGTAAGCACAATTATACTGTTAGCTTCACTGAAGCACTTCTACTGCTTTCTCTAATTATGCATCTTGTGGAGCAGGGTGCTGGCATATAAAAGAAAACATGAGCAAACAATCCAGTTTTGTTCATATGCCCTTAAAGTATTAGCAAAAATAAAAAAGCTATTGTGACAAATGACTCTGCAACAGGATGCAATATGCTAAAAATAGTTACATGTATTAAAGGAATTCTGTATATTAAAACTTGTTCTCCTTTTACAGCAAGAGGAAGAAAGCTGTATACCAAGGAGAGACAATAATGAAAACTGAGTCTAAACAATTAGAGGAAGTGCAGATAAAAGAAATACATACCATGAGAAGTTCTTTTTGTGAGTTTCAGAATAAATGCAATTGTGGTTATTATAGATTACATGGTAGTTTTGGAATTACAGATGTTTCACTTTAGCTTTTACTTATCAACTCAGATGCTAAAGATATCAATAGTAATTATGTATGTGTAAATGTCATTAGTGGGAAAAGGCACTGGTGGTATAAACCTTTCTTAGTTCAGTAGGAAAAGCAGACTGCCATTTACTGAAAAAGATGTATGTATTAAGAAGCACATATGGTATTCTGGAAAGCTAGCAGGAATATGTGATAATTACTAGTGCTAATGGTAGCATCCATAATACTCTGAAGAGTAAAATTTATGACAAATATCAGCAGATATGATGGCCTTCATGGGAAGGAGTGCAGTGGGTTAAAACAGCAGAGGATCTTACCTCTTCAGGTAAAATAATAATAAGATCTGGTTCCAACTGACCCACAATTCTTGAATGGAAATAGATGCTGCAGGCTGCAAGGACAGAGCGATGGGCCCGAAATCGCTGATCTTCCACTAAGATGGTAACATCACAAAAAAGATCTTGCTTTCTCTGTTCATCAAGACTAAGCAGAACATTGGCACTGTGTACTGAGGACTCATATGCAAAAACAACATTGTTTCTTTCGCTTAAAGACATTCTGTATCACAAGTGTTGATAAAGATCTCAGAGGAGAACATGCTTCTAGTTTTCACACCTGAGATATGCAAAAGAAAAATGCAATAATTAATAAAAACAGATTGAGGCCACATTTATTATGGCATACATTCTGATGGATAAAGTCAACTTTGCTAAAGGTTATACTACAATACAATGCATTCATTATTACCGTTTTTATTGCTCTATACCCTTAGAAGGAAGATTTAGATCTTGCAGGTGTCCACATACCCAATGCCATGTTGCTGGCAGAGTAAGAAGGGCAACAGATGTGATTTTTGCCACTTTAAATGCCCCCTCATCTAGGGAGGGTATGTTGCAGGGGGCTAGAGAGGTATAGGAATTCCTATATTCTCTGCACCCACTTGAATGCCCCCTTTGCCTTCCTCCAAGACTACACTGGTGACCTCAGAAGCAGCCACCATGGTTCTTTCAGCAAAGGCTGCAAGTGGGGACAGGGGAGGGAAATAAAAAAGCAAGTCTCCAGTCTACAGCATCAAGAGGAGAACTCTGAACAATCCTATGGACCCTGAGGTGCTTTTCCAGGGACCACTGAATTGCTCTGTTCTTAATACAGAATATTACAAAATGAAATAAATTCACACACACATCTTCGAAGATACTGTCACCATAAAGCAAAGTTGTCAAAAGGTAATAGACACATTTCACAGACATGCAAGTTGGCTAGGCCCACTATTCTCATTATCACTATTTAGGTGCCAGGCACAAATATTTCTTTTTCCCAAGCATTTAAAGCTATTAACATTAGCATTTTAAAATTACAGCAGTTTTAATTTTACTGTCTGAATGGAGTGTTGCTGTTTTAGTAGGTTGCATTAACTGGTATGCTTTATTTTGTTTTTATTGCATTTTTGTTTTTAATACTTTGTTAGTAACCCTTGGAACATAATTTTATATTGAAGGTGTGGGATATAAATTAGCTAGATAAATATTATTGGGAGTGGGGAATGGGGGATGCACATAATTTCACAAATCAGCTATTGTCTGTGGTACTGAACAAATTCCCTGCACAAAACATATATGGCTTGTATTACCAACTCGAGAAAAACTGACCTAAAGAAAACAACAGGGGTGGCAGAGTGAACACACTGATAAAACTTGCAAGACAGATCACTTAATACAGAAATCTTCATTTTGGTAATGATGTTCTAGATCTGCTTTCAGATAATGATCTGCTACTAAAGTATTTGACATGCTTACCAGTATATCTGAATGTTATATTCAGTGGTAAAGTTGATTTTAACCACTAACTTTCTACCATCTCGACTAGAATTCATTTGAAAAGCATTTCAAAAGCAGAATTTTCAGCTCAGGTTTGTGTTGTTGATAGAAGGAATCTTTTTGGCTAACTCCACCTAGTAGGAATGTTGTCACCATCTTTCTCCAGTTTAGATTTGGTAAGCCCCTTTCTAATTTCTAGTATATTGCTGTAACTTGTCCTATATGGGCTGCCTTTGATTACTGTTGACAAGTTTCAGCTGGTGCAAAAGTTGCCACTCACCTCTAGAGCTACATCATCAAGAGAAGGAAGGAACCAGACATGGTTTTAGGGGTGGGGTGAGAGGGTCAATGCCCTTATGCATATCCTTAACAGTGTCATTTATTTTACTCCAGGATTGGGCCATACATTTAAATCATAAAAATAATATAGTATTTAGCAACCTTTGCAACATTCAATGGAAGAGAACTATGTAACATCTCTAAAATCTTTTATTGGGAAGGCATTTTTTCTTTTACTCAACTATGTAAGAGAAAAGAAATCATGTAACTGTTATACAGCAAACTCTTTTTCAGAAATTAATCTAGGAATGAATTTTTTAAGCACAGAGGGTGGCATGTGTTAGAAAAAGAAGCAAACTCCTGAGGTGAGTAAATCTTCCACAGTGCATACATTTTTTCCTACACAATTATCTGCATCAGGGTGGCAATGTAGGTAATTAATATATGGGTAGAGAATCATTTTTAAAAGGGTGAAAACTGGTTGAGAACAACATAACAGCAGAAGGACAGGTCAAATTCCCCCATCCCATTTCTGCCATACCAAAGCCCCACACAGGTACCCTCCAGATAAACTTCAACTCCCAGCATCCCCAGCCAGCATGGCAATTATTCAGGAATGGTGACACCTATAATCCAAAATATCTGAAGGCCACCAGATTGAGGAAGGTGGCAAAGCTTGTTCCTCCCTCTGCCATTTCCCACCCATCCACCTCTTCCCACTTTCCCTCATTCACCCCCCCCCTTAACCCTACTCATAACATTTCCCCCTCCCACACACCTCTCTGTCATATGCTTTCCTTTTCTGAAAGGTTTCCCTTTCTCATAGCACAGCATGGAATCACAACAAAGAAGCTCACTGATCTCTTCTTCCAGTAGCAGCTTCCTTTATTTCCATGCTGGGCTCTGTAAGAAGGCATTATTTTCTCACCTCCAATGAGGTAACTCAAGAAAGGTCAGGATTGTAAGAGGCTAGTTGGAACTCTCTGCAGGTTGCATCTGACTCATGAGTTGCTGGCTCCTCTGCCATGATTTATCTCAAACAACAAATTAAGATAATATTTTGGCCTCTTCAGATGGAGTGAGCAGTACCATTATGTTTTGTTCTCTTTCTGAAATGGAGTACCTCTGAACTATAGGATTTGTTTCAGTGCTGAAACTGTTGCTACAGTAATAACATCTTTAAATAATAGAAAAAGATTCTACAGTAAGGGTGTATCCTTCGGCCAGGAATTCCCAAATTCAAATCACAATTCAACTATGAATTACCAGATAATCTTTGAATGTTGGAATTGCAATACATTGAAAGTAACTGCTATGACAGTCCAATTAAGGGAGGAGGTTTTCAACACAAAAAATATTTCTAGCAAACAAGCTATATTATTTTTGTTCCACTGAATACAGGTGTGTTTTCTGCTCAGTTATGCCTTCACTTCAGTCTGAAAAAGTTATAGCTAGTATGTCTATTTCATGTGCTAGATCTCTTGCTATTCTTGAATTCATTTAAATAAGTGATTTTTAAACACACAGTGCAGCCATGGCTGCCTACCACCCACCAGTTTCCTATCACTTGCCTCCATCAAAATGTGTTCAGTTTACAAGTTAGATCTGAAGTCTCCTGTCCCCATGCCACTAATTTTGCTGTGAAGCCAAACTTGAATTTTTAGTCAAGCTGAGTCATTGCTTCCTTGTGAATCACTCTAGCTAAATAAATTTTGCTTATGTATGGCAAATTGTGCAACCCTGTTGCCAAATCAATCTATCAGTGTAACTTTAACAAAACAGATTTATAAACAAATAAAGCATAATGGATATTCCTTTAAATCTATGGACTCAAACATGTAAGAAGCAATAAAGGTTACAAAAAGAAGTAAAAAAACAGATATCTACTTAAGAAAACAAGCATAATCAACTTTGGGAACAGTCCTTTTAGATCATACAGAAATTTCAATTATAGATTACAAACTGTACACATAGTGTACAGTGCATAAGAGAAAAGAAAAAATGCACATTAAAAGGTATCAACTCTCAGGAGCCATAAAAAGATGTGGAAAAAGCAACTGGAGATAAATGAGGCAATATATTTATTCAGGAAGTCTGGATAAATCACAGATGAAAATATCTAAACCAGCACTCATATGTAGCATATTAGGCAATACCCCTTTATACCATGTATCTTCTAATTTTCCATGCTATCACAAATTTGGGCTTTCAGAAAATATCCCACCCAGGTGTTCTCCCTCACGTTCAGACAAAACATTCAGGTTGTTTAGATACAGTCTTCTATCAAGGGCATAGGGTACAGTACCCTCAGCAAAGCCACTGCCCCAATTTAGACAGCCCTACATAGCTATACATCAGGCTAGCATGTCAAGTAACCTTTGCTAAGGTAGAAAGGTTAGTCCTGCAGCCAGATGGGTGACCAAATGTGGAAGTGGAGTAGGGGGTTGGACTTAATGGTCTTGTGGTCCCCTTCCAACTCAACTACTATTCTAACACAACTTTGTTTATTACTGTAGGTGGGTTGTCATGTGAAGAGGGAACAGTTCACCAGGGTGATTGTTTTCTTTTGACCAAAATACCCTTCAGTGCCCATGGGATGCTTAATGTCGTTGTCACCCATGGTTGGTTTTCTGAAACATCCACCGTGAGTGATCGCCAACAGTCAGCAAACCTCTTAGTGAGGGTAGCAAGCAGCTGCCAGTAGCCGCCAAAATGTCCATGTCAGTGTGGAGTGTCCACCTGTGCTGGCAGCTTGAAAACAGATCTCACAAAATGCTGGCAATAATGGATGGGACCCACACCTCTGTTAACAAGGTGCTGGATGGGTTTCTGGAGAGGTCTCCTCTTGAGTCAATAGCAAGGATAGCTATGAGCTGGCAATCTGTTCTGCGGTGCTGCCCTGCTCAGGCATCCCACCTCATCTCATCTCCTTCCAAAGCAGGAGGCAGTGCTCAATTCAGTTGGTGGCACTACCTTGAGAATCAGGCATTGCCGCTTAGTGGCTTGGACACCTCCACCTATTGCCATCCAAGAATAGATCCTGCAGGCAGGAGATAGTGAACTGTTTGGCAGGGGCACCAGATCTGCTCACCAACACTGCTCAGAGGAAGGGCAGTGGTACCAAGGAGACTGACTACCTCCACTGCTTGTTTAAGAGGTCTACTCTTTAGCAGAAGGAAGTGGGCTTCCCAATCTGCTTGATGGCACTGCCCTTTCCTCAAGTTGTAAAACTGGATTGAGCACAACGATCTCATTCCATCCTCTGCATAAAAGCAGACCTCTTGGACGGGAGGCCAAAACCAAAGAACTGCCTGGTGGTGCTTCCCTGTTCTCAAGTGAGACCATTAAGCACATCAGGCAGCCCTATTCCATCTTACCTCCTGCCTAAGAGTAGTCATCCCTGACAGGAGCAGACAGTCTGGTCAGCAATGCTGCCCTGTCCTTGAGCTGCACCTCCAAAAGGATCAGGAACCTCTGCCTCCTGGTACTTCTGGTTCAGAAGCGGGGATGCCAATCTCATTCTCTCCACTACACTTCAGGGCAGGAGCTCTGTTTGCACAATGGGGATAAATAAGGACCCCTCTCCCAGTGCAAATAAGCTCCTGCCCTGAAGCACAACAAAAAGAAACTTCCAGTCTTAGTAGGGACAACATACAGAGGCTGTCTGCTGCCCTCTTGCTGTAGCCACTCTGTATGTTGCCCCAGCTGAGCTGGAAATATCTCCCCATTGTGCTTCAGGGCACAAGCCATATTTGTGCTACAGGTACTTTCTGACAGATGTGGAAAACTGGAATCAGACTCGTTCCTCCTCAAAGTGTCACCTGGAATACTGTTTGGAGGAATGGGGGAAGAAGAGAGCAAAGTGGTCACAATTATCTGGCAGACTAATCATGGCTACTTCACAAAACAACCATCCCACTGTGGCTTCTTTTCAGGGTGGGTTTGTCATGTCATGTGAATTGAGCCATTTTCTACTTCAAACTGTTGAATCCTCCACTGCTCCATGTGCAGTAAATGTCAACTATATTAACTGCTTTTCTACATCCCAAATCTAAGTATGTTCGCTACTTTTTTCTGCACTTTTTTATCCAACCCTATCTCAAGTCACAAAAACAGTGATACTTAGCTTTCTGTTTTTGCATTGTGTATGTTTGTTAGGTAATGTGAGACCTCCAAGTTAGCATTTGATGACTTGAATTAAGCAAAACAGTTAAAATATAAAAAGAAAATTAACAAAAGTTTTAAAAGAACTAGGATTCGTGCATTCTAGTTTACATTTACAAATTTATAATACAAACTGTTACTTCCCTGTTTCCTTGGAAAGTCTTTTAAAACAAAATTAAAATGAGCAGTAAGCTTCCTCAACTGTAAATTATGTATTCAGTCATAATAAAATGTCAAGATTAGTGTTTTAAGATAATATATAGGCTTGTAGTGTTGCAAGACAGAGAAACATATGATGACTATGTAGTAGATCTTGATTAATACTATATTAGAATAAGCAAAATGAAGTACCTGGGAAATATTACTTTGATAAGGTTTTTTGCCTCATACTGAATGGGTAAAATCCATTCTATATATGCTTCAGGAATTTATAGTAGATCTTCCTTGTCAGCCAATGTACTGCAGAAAATTCCCTCTTTGCCCACTTTCAACAGCTTCTGTAACCAGTGTGATCCTGTGATATACAGTGGCAATTCACTGTGAGGATATTAGTTCTTTGGATTCAATATAATTAATCTCCCAAGACTCTTCAGTAAGTTATATCTGGGATAGAAAAGATATAGGGACTCAACTGAGAGAAAAGATAATTTCAGGTGAAGATGTGAAGTTGGTTATTTGTATACATTTAAGCATATATTGGTTTTCACAAAGATTTCTACATTCCACAGTATTTACATTCTGCAACTGTAGGGCATCCAATCAGTATAGTATATCTAATTATAAATCATGGAAACCAGAAGAATATTGATGAATGCAATCGCTGATTAAGCTTTTGACCTTTTAACATCTCAATATGGCCAAAGGCCAGGGAGTACAATAGGATGACTACTGTTAACAGTGTGTCGTATACTAACGCCCAGGAAACTACTGTCTGATGCTGTTTCTATGAAAACAAGAAAACATTCACAGTGATATGCTGCTGTACAATCTCAAGCAGTAACTATTGCAGTGTTAACTAAACTACCAAATGAAGGCAATTCTGTATCACTGAAACTATAAGAAGTGGCACATGCTTAAAACAGTTGGTTTGAAAAACTGAATCTAAAATTAATTGCTTTTGTTTACAACCCACTATCCCAATAGTGAATTTCTTTCTTAAAGGAAACTGTCTGCTTTAAAGTTCTGATAAACAACTACCAGTGGCTTTTAAAGGACAGTTGCATATCTAACTCCACCCAACCACCTTTCCTTTTATAGACACACAGAGATGCTTCACTTGAGTGCTCGCCTTAGTTAAGAGCTGCTGATTCATTATGTTGTGCTGACATTGCATGAAGCAGCATTTTACTGAAAAATAAGAGACTTGGACTCTACAGCACCTTAGCCAGCACTGAACATGAACAACTTTTCTTAAGTTTACTAAGTGTTTTTGTATTAATATATTCCATTTAAAAACATTTCATTAATATGGCAAACCATTTCAAATCTAAAACTCTGTAGCTGTATCTTCTTTTTTAGCTATATATAGAGCAAGTATTTTATGTATAATTTTAAATTTAATAAACATAGTCCATTCTTACAATTTCCATGGGATCTGGCCAACTCATTTCTTAAGGGATGAACTACATCTTTATTTATTTACTTAATGTGCATGTCCTCCATTAACCTAGATGGATTCTCCACATTAAGAAGAGCCTGCAATATAGTTATTAAGAGTATGGCGGGGGAAACCCAGTTTCAGCCTTGAAGTTTTCTTGGTGACCTTAGGACTAAGCCTAAATTATCTCATTGTCATTGTGAGTACAAGATAAATGAAGAATGGAGGGAAGAACTACTGGTGCTGCTCTGAGCTCCTTCGATAAAATGGGGACAAAGTGTCATAAATACAGTCTGAAGATACAGGGCAGTTCCACTTAAGTCACTGATTTAGAGCTACTGTAAGCAGCATCTGACATAATACCAATTACATATGCTGGCACAACAGACTTTCCAGGAGAAGTCCATCACAACAGCACATACTATTGGTTTTGCACTGGAGCTCACTTAAGCTAGCGCTACATCAATTCTGTAAATGCAACAATAATACTGAGTATTGTCCATAAGTACCTGGCAAAATGGGAAGTTTAAGCTGAAAGTTGAAAAAGTAATAGGCACCATAACCTATTTTAATCTGAAGCAACTATGTACCATAACCAAGACATGTGGTTAAGTTCACTAACAAATTGACTAAGACTAGGTTCAACTTCCCACTAAGGCATGAAGCTGGCTGGACCAGTCATTGTTAACTTACTTTATAGGGCTGTTGTGAGGAAAAATGATGGTAGAGGTGGGAGAAATACCATTTTGAGCACTTTGAGGAAACGCAGGATATAAATGCAATAATTAAAAATAAATACATTTTATGTATAAGTGGTCTTAAAATATTTAGCCATTTGCTTTTAAGTATTAATTGGAAGAATAAAAAATAAAAACATGCCTATCAAATAACTGTCCTGCTAGAAATGTTGGCATTTTCCATGCTATAAAAATGATTTCTCGCAGCAAATATACCACATTTACCCTTTCGTTGCTTTACATGTAACAGACATGCCACTCTTGCCTTCCACTTAAAGACACGGGACTCCATTCCTTCATGAGAAGAGTTTATACATGTATCTTTTGGGAATCCTACCCTACTTACCTATGTTCCTTTCAAAAACAGCTGTGTATAGAAACTTTCCCCCACCATTTTAAAAGTAGAATGCACAAGTGCATTCCAGGTACCTGAGAACAAGAGAGACTACATTCTTCATTTAGCAGTAAGAGAACTATTAAACTCATGCTCAAGGTTTTATTAACTAAACTAAGTTTAACCTAGGATATTAGAAGGATATTTTTACACTAGGCAGTTCTAATGGTACTTAGTGGAAATGTGACCAAACTTAACTGCCACAACTTATTCTAGACTTTTAAAGATTAACCCCAAAACCAAAATTATCCTAAATCTTAGCTTTAAAAGAAATGTATCAATTATAATTCAAATTCTGTGAAATTCGTTTGTGAGCAGCTTTATCCTAACCATTAACTAATATTTTCAAGATCAAGAACAAAGATTTATTCATTTCAATGTATTTTACATGAAAAAGAGGTCCCAATCCAACTCTCATAGGACCTGAAACTTGATAATCTAATGGTACATGTAAATGTTTGGCAGTTTCAAGAAACATACTTAACTTACAGTTACGTTTAAGAACAAGCAAATGAGTATTGCCACATCAAAAGGAACAGCAGAAATGTACCACTAAATAAAGCTGAACTCTTACACAAACTTACTTGTGAAGGAAGCCCTCAGCAATCATATATGTAAATAATATCAATAAATAAACAAACACTCTTGAACTCAGTGGGGTTTACATACATATAAACATGCATAGGTTTGTACCATTAGTAACTAAATATTAGTTTGGGAGGTGTTTGTGCTTTTCTTTTATACACATCTTGTTTCCTTTCCTACCAAAACATTATATTCTTAAACTGCGACCCTTCCACTATAATTCTGTTGTGATGCCGAGGCATGCGGTGACAGTATATATGTTTTAAATAAATAAATAAATATAAAAGAGAACAATTTAGAAGAAATGTTACATGCAGAGATAAGATCTGGGAAATTCTAAAAAGCTGAAATTCTGAAAAGCTAAAAATGGTCCTGCTTTCTAGTTTACAGTGACAGTAAGTTCTGTGTCATCACAAATTAGATTATCTCTGAATCCCACCACATTCTCCATGCTAACTGGGAATCAAGCCAGTTTATTTCTGACTAGATAGACACGCATAGGATTTAACAGCAAGGCTTTCTTCCTTAGTTAATGAAGGTTTAGGAAACCTCCTCCTACAAATTAAAACTTTCCTCACCATGTGTACCCCTCCTCCCTGTGGCTGATTTCAAGTTGAATGAGTGGAGATTTCCATACTCAATTATTTTCAGCCTCCTGCTCAGACAGACATTCCCAAGTCATATAGGTATTTACCGGTCATAACCAGCACTTTCAGTTCTGCCTGGAAACATGCTTGTAACCAGTGATGCTTTTCCTGTAACTCATTCCAAAGAACAGTCTGGACCAAATGAAATTTCTGAACCATTTCCAAAGGGAGCCCCTTGTACAGTGGGTTACACTAGTCTAAATTAATGCATACACAATGATGGTCAGATCTGACATCTTTAGGAGCAGGTGCAGTTGCCCCAAAAGCCTCTTTGTGTAAATATACTCTTTACCATTGCCAAGTCCTGGAAATCCAAGTTCAGGGCCAAATCCATTAACATGATCAAACTGTGTGCCTGAATCTTCAGGAAGAGTGTTAACCCATCCAGCATGAGCAGAATATTTATTCCTCAAAATTCCTTTCAACCAATCAAAAGTATTTCTGTTTTGCCTGAAGTAAGCTTCAGTTTGTCTTCATTCAGTCCACTACCAACATCAGGCACCAATTTTGAACCAGAAGAGCTTCTCTGGATTCCAAATGAAAGAAATAAAGTTGTGTATCATCAGCATATTGGTGGCCAGCATCCCAAAATCCTTGACAATCTCTCCCAGTGGTTTCATACATATGTAAGATAGCATGGGAAATAAAATGGATGCCTGAGTAACAACACAAGGCAATGGTCACAGTATCAGACAGACCTCGCCTAGTGCCACCTTCTGAGGTCACCCCATTAAGAAGGACCAGACACCACATAACAGTGACTCCCAGGCCCATCTGAGCCAGATGTCACAGAAGATACCATCACTGATGGTGCGAAAAACTGCTGAAAGGTTTAGCAGAACTAACAACACCCTCCCTTATGTTCAGTTCCTAGTGATTGCTCACCAAATTAAACCATGCAGTCTCTACTACATAATCAGACCTGAAGCCGGATTGGAATACCTCACTCAGAAATCCCTGGAGCCAAGAAGCCATCACATACATTAACTTATGCAAAATGGAATACTGCAAATCAGCTGGAAATGACCCAATATAGTGAGGTTCAGAGAGAGTTGTTTTGTTTTTTTAGAAAAAGTCCTACCACTGCTTCTTTTAGGAAAGACAAAATTACTCTTTTGCCCTAAAGCAAAGTTCACCATAACCCTTACCACTCAGGAGCATGTAAGTCAATGGCCCAGATCATTTCTTCAGTTCCACAGAGATCAGTCATGGCTCTGCTGTTCATCAATTGCTGATTCTGTAGCCAATACCAACCTTTGGTACAAACCCTGCACTAACACAATCTTTCATTTTGCTTCTGAAAGCTCACTAAACTCAGGTTTACATAGACTTCAAAGAGATATCTTTAGTTGTTCTCTAATGAGATCTGAAAATAAGGCTTTAGATTTCTTTCTAAAATCTTGTTATCTGCTGATACAAGGAACGTTAGGCTATATCTTTGGCAGCCCCATTGCTCACACAAATTCTAACATGAAAAAACATGAGTGATATGAAACAAAGTTGGGTGCTTGACTACTGTGGCAGAGCAAGATAATGCTGTCACATTGCCAAGAAAAATGCAGAAGACGGAAAAAGAAAAGTAGGTACAACTTATTACTCTACTTGGGGAATTTTTCATGACCTAAGCAACCTCTTGGAGAACTTATTTAAGCTTCATGTCGAATACAAGTGATACATTACTACAATTAATAAAGCCATAACAGATCTCTCTTAAGAAAAAGTACATAAAGGATCTATCTAGCTCTCACTGTCTTCTTAATTTACTATAATCACCTGTCCGATCTGAAAGCTGGATCTGAAAGCCCCACCTCTTTGCTACTTGTTTCATCACTTGAAACACACCTCGGCGCTCCACTTGTTCTTAGGAAACACCCCCCCCCCACTTGTCCCAAGTTGCTTGATGTCCCCATAAAGTGTGGCTGTTTGAAAATGTGGTGTTTACAACCATTATCCCTCAAGTTCACTCCAACATGAATTCACTGTCCAACTGCTTACTCACAGTAAGTGTGCTTTGCTTTGGACATGGTAACCTGCACAAACACCCTGGTTATAATGCAATGGAGTGCTCACTGCTTTGTCCCGCTGACTGCCCATCCAGGAGCACCCATGCCTCCTCCTCAGAGCCTATAGCCACAGGGTTTTACAGCGAACTCCCCTCCACGATCAAGCCGACAGGGCTGGCAGCACACCCCGCCCCCCTCGGGCCCAGGCACCAGAGGCTCCTTTAGCGCTAGAATGGCGAAGTCGTTGGAAGCGATCTCTGCCCCGAAATGCTCACACACAGCCGCGCGTAGGAAAAATGACATGTTCTCCCGCGAGGCACCAGCACCCCAGCGAAGGCTCTTTAAAAGCCTGACCCTCGGACGCCCCTATTACTCCATCCTCCGTCCTCCCCAAAGCCCCCGCTTTCCTGCGCGCTACCAACCCCCGGCCGCAAATACTTCGGCTGTTCCACGAGCGATCAGCCGACCCCTCAGTCCTTTTCCTCACGCAAGGAGGGGGACAGCGGGCTCCAGGGAACCCTCCCGCCAGTTATGCGCCTGCGCTCTCGTGTGCTCTCTCTCTCTCTCTCTCTCTCTCTCCCGCGTCCGCTACCCTCCCGCCGCCTATGGGCCCCGCTCCGTCCGCGCGAGAGGGCCCCGTTCGCTCACCGCCTCTGGCCCAGCCGGAGCCCTTCAGGCGAGCGTTAGCCGCTCGAACCCCCCTCGCTCGGGGCCGTGGCTTCTGCAGACGCCGCGCCGATCGACCTACAGTCAGGTGACAACATCGCAGCCTTCTCCGCCGATTGGACGCGGAACCCAGCTGACGTCCACTCTTCTCTGCCCTTCCTTCCCCCTCCCGCCTCCAAATCTCTCCGCCCCGAGGCGCGCATGCGTCGCTTCACGGCCTCGTTCGCGCCCAGGCGAGAGTGGCGACGTGTAAGCCTTGCTCGGGATGCCTGGGGGCTTCGGCGGCGGCTGGGGCGCCGAGCGCGCCCGTTGAAAATGGGCCTGCGGCACATGGGGAGGCGGGAGCTGCGGATTCCCGGTGGCTCGTACTTGCTTCGCGCTGAGCCGTATGGCGGGCTTGCTTCTGTGCAGACCCATTTGTGAACACTAGTTATGGCGTCAGTGGCAACAGCGCTGTCATTGTGGTGCCCGAGGACGCTCGTGGTCAGCCTACTCCAGTACTGCCCCTAGTAAAACCTCTACCTTTATTCGAAAATAATTGGAATGCCCTACCTTTCTCCGATCTTTGCACTGTCCTCGAACACAATTAGCACAGACATAACGGGAGAAACTAGCTTTAAAGAGAATTAATTAACATGCTCCATTAAACAGAACAGTTTGCTTGCTGCAGAGCGACAAAACATTCATGTCCAACGCAGTGGACAAAATAGGCAAGATTTGCATTCTTCCCCATCTCTACACGCCTCCCAAGTTGAAGGTACTTCGCTGGACCTGGAGGTTTTTTGAGAAGGAAGTTATGTGCATCTTGAGATATTTACTACATGAAGATTACCAGCATGTGCTTAAGGAACAGCCTATTTGGTAGAAGGCAATTAGTAAGATCACAATAAATAAAACTGCTAATGTATAGGGTTCTGATACTGATTGCATTGCAGAAACATACCTTCAATTCATTCGGCCTTAAACTTATTTTGGATAGTGTGCTAAGTCACAGTACTGGAAGCATGATAAAAGCTGCATCTATTGAAACTCCTATATAATTATTTATAGGCAGAATATCCTATGCATATGAGATCTATTCACTACATTTTGAACTCTTCCCAAAATCTTACCTTGTTTCCAAGATTGCTGCATTCACAACATTTAGTTTAAAACAAAGCAAAGTTGAATCCAAGACTTTTTTGGCTTACTTTACACTTTTATCTGAATTCTTCAGTTTATATCATATGATAAAAATGCTACTAAAATAAAACTAGATAAAAACTAAATGTGTTTGGTTTAATTAGGAGAAATATTAATCCTTATTCTGCTGTATTTCAGTAGGTGGTAATATTTGTTTTGTTATAATTCTAAGTTTTTCCTGTGTAAGATATAAATATGCTCCAGCTGGATCCAGGAACTGTTTCTGGGTTTACTCCAATTAAATAATCAAGTATTAAATGTTAAATTATTTTTCATATTTTGCTATCTGAAAACATACACAAAAACATACTGGGAAATTTCTATTCATCTTACTGGCCCAAATGTCACCTGACTTTCTCCTTTCAAATGTTATTAGCAGTATGTTTTCAGGTCTGGCAATCAGCTATTCCAGTATTGCTAACTGACTACCTATTATTTAACTGTGGTCATACATTCAAGAGTGGGACTGCATACACAACAGTGTTGACCAATGGTGTTGACCAATGGTATGTGTCCTGTGTGCAAATGCCCAAAATACACAAGAAGGGAAAGTTTTCTTTTAAAGGATTTATTCTTGAGAATAACTGACTACCAATGAATTGATCCAGGTGGTGCACCTGAGCAGTCCTCAGTTGTCCCTTTTATATTATAGATCATTGAAGGGTTACATGTAACACTGTTAATACTGTCCAATAGGTTACGGAAGTAAAAAGTTACAATGGTGTGATCTTTCCCACTTGCATACCAAAGAAAATGCACTAAAGGAGTGGGGAGGATGGGGTGCTATTACACAAAAGAGGAAGAGGATGGGGTGGGCTGCTGTGAATCGCCCTTTGTTTGAGCTGCTGTTATCTTGTCAGGTGCCAAGTAGCTTTCTCTGGACTGGTGCCTGGTCAGTGTCAGCTGCATTTCATGGATGCACACATGCGGATTTCTAGAAAAGAGGATTTTTTTCAGGCCTGGTTATGTATCAGTTTGCATGATTAAACCAATGAAAGTAATACCAATTGATCTGTATATCAGTAGTATAATTCGTCAGAAAGGGCAGAAGGGAAGGCAGCATTTCCTATGGGTATAGTGTTGACCTGTAGGACATAACACAGCAACGTTCTCAAATAGCATTCCAAGCAAAGCCTTGGTATAGCTACTCAGAAGCAAGCATGAACAACTTCTCAAAAGCAAGGAAGATGCTAGATGGAAATGCAGTTTGGACCTTTCTGCACAATCTTTTTATTGTGTGAAACAAGTACACTTATTTCTCATATCCTATATAGCATTGACATGTCTTTCTTAAAAGTTGTAGAAGTATTTTTGAGCTCCTCCTTTGCCTACCTAATCTAGATAGTGTATTCTTTCTGTTACGATTGTGTGGTTTTGCTAGTGTCATAGGTTATGGGTTATTTTAGGGACTATAGTGGTGGTAAATACAACATTTTCCCCTATTTTACAACAATTATCAATTAACAATTATGTCCCACAACTGGAAATCCTTTTTTCTTACAGGTTTTTAAAAATTAAATATTGTTTTGGGAAGCTGTGTAGTCTTTTCCTCTACACTACAGGGATTGGTAGCCTTTCCATTTATGGAATCTAGCTGTCTCTTCACTAGCACTCTGATCTTCAACCAAGTTTAAAATAGTAGCTCATGTGAGCAGCCATATATTGAAAATTAAGGAACAGGGGTCTCAAGAATTTATGAATAATACCAGAACCTAGATAGCAAGTACCTTTGCACAGAAATCCAGTCCTGATTTTCCCTGAGCCATTCTTTTTTAGCATGGCTTAACACTTTTTAATAGCCGCTGTTCAAAAGCAACTATTGGAGTCAGAAATGGGAGTCAGAAACCCATGTTAATCTACTGCAAGTCATTCAGAAATCTACCAGAAGATCCTTGGCTGCAGCCCACCCCTCTTGTACCCAAGCATGCATCCAGCCACTTACTCATTTTTAAAGAGTGGACTACAGCATACTGATCCTATCTATCACAAGTAGGTGGGATTAAAAAGTATTTTGTGCACCTTTTAAAAGGCTGACACTTGACACACTTTTACCAACCACGCAATAAGGCCCTAGTGTGGCTCTCAGAGAAAGAAAGGGAATCACTCCAAATTCCATTACCAATTAAAAAATAAACTGTCAGTGGAGGGAGCTACAGTGCAACAGTGCCACTAAATCCAGCCATACGTGGAGGAGATGTTGGAACCATAATCCAACATCAATAGTTAACTTACTATCTTCTGTATTAGAGATAAATACCTAGTTATGTCAACTGCAACAAAACCATATCTTTAATGTCCCCAGGAGCAACTGGTGTCAATGTTTATTTCCAAGATGTTCTGCCATTTTACTTGTAACTTTCTGTCTTAATGCACTTACATTGTTTTCCTGAGATATTTGTTTATCAATATCATAGTTCTCAAACTGTTAGTTAAGCAAGCAAGCAAGGAGAAAAATTGACAGAGCACATGGTTTGCATCCAACATTCAGTCCATAGCAGCCCTGTTTTAATGAAACTCTGAGACCTAACTTGTTTCAAACCACCAGAACACTGAGCTGCATGATGCAAAAGCTGGACTTGGCAATTTTATATATCCATTTTATGTCTGTACGTATGCATGCATGCATTTATTTGATACATTATTTGTATCTTGCTTTTCTATTTGATAGCCTCACTTTATTGACAGGCTCACAATGTTAATAAACAACAACAAATAAAAGCCAAATATATCAAGCAAAACAAAAAGCAGAAGACTAGCTGCAACAGAAGTAAGTTCCTTACACTCACTTGGTCTGCATCCCTCTCCCTCCTCATGGTCAGGGGCCCACCACCTGTCCTCTCCACAAGGCTTTAACTTTGTCCCCCTTTGTCCAGATGCCTCCCCCGCCATCGAATTCCTCAGAACCACTGATTTCCCCACCACCAGTGTGCTACGTTCCCTTTCCCAGAGATCTTCATACAGGTCCACAGTTTCTTCCCTGGTACCACTGCCATAGAGTAGATCTTCATGTGAGCCCAGCCCAAGTTTAGCTGGACTCACTCCAAGTTCTCCATCAGTGTTGCTCTCGCTGCTATCCCTCGCATTTCATCACTATTGTACTCCATGGGAGAAGATACTCAGGAGTACTGAATTAATCATAACCCAGCTTCATAATGAGAAAAGTAGTCAATTTCTTGTAATAAAGCCATATTTTTATCTTTCTAACTTGTGTTTTTATGATGTTTCATGGTTGCACTGATAAGACATGCAGGGTGAATAAGGACCTGAGTCTAGAATGATACAGCAAAATGGGTTTAATTCTGAAGACAGTATTAACTTGCAGAATAAAGGCAGAGATAAGCAGCTGAATGTGCAAGTTAAAAAAATCATGTTTCACAATGACTGTGCTGTTATGAGACACATGCATATAAGAAATATTTTCAGTTATGGCAATATTATTAGTGAAATAGTTGCTCATAAGCTGTATTATTTCCAAATTGCAGTGCCTGACCTCTGAGGAGGGGTCAGGAAGCCCAGCATAGAGTACAGTAACCAATAAATGTTCCTCTTTCCCTTGTATACCCGTTTGGAGTGCTCTGTCCCAACAGTGCCAGTTTCTGGGGTGAGGTCATATTGTTGATGAGTATTTGTTGTGCTCCCCCCCCCCCACAGTGAGCAGTCAGGATGCACAACATGAACCAAGAAACATACAGTCCTATGTCGTGGACCTTGTCATCCCAGTCATGGAATTGGTATATTAGTGGTGGTATGCTGTGATTGGCTGTTGACTGGCACCATAACCTATGCATTGCCCCTAGAGTATAAGGGGGTGGGTGTCATCATGAGACCAGCTGATTTTCATTTTTCCTCTCCAAATGAAGTCAATAGGAGGGAAATTCCTTGTACCAGGTCAAGGGCGGGTGTAAATTTCCACCAGCAAC